TATGGCACTAATAAAATTGTGGGACGACCCAGTATCGACTAGCACCTCGATAGATCGTCCGCGGACCGAGGCGGGCAACTTAATGGTTCTCGGCCCGTGCACTCCCGACATCGCATTGACCGAAATTTCCAAGTCCTCCTTGACGTAGCGCCTTGTTTCCTCTTCCTCGGGTTCTTCCTCATCACCATCCATGATGTACAATTGTTGCTTGCACCGATGACCCGGCGTAAACCTCTCGTTGCAACGGAAACATAGACCCTTGCTTATCCGATGCTGCCTCTCCTCTTCGGACATCCTTTCCCAGCCAGTCGTTGCTGAACTCCCCGCCTTGGGCATGGGCTCCGGGTACGATCGCGACTCCGTTCGCGCTGGCTCCGCGCATACTTCCGTCCGTGTCTCGCCATCGCGTGTGCTCGATCGGCCCGTCTTGCGCACCGCGGCCAAGTGATCGTCGCGCGTGCGTGCAGCCTCCATGGTTTCTTGTAGGCTTCGTGACTTCTCGAGCCTAACTTCAGCAGCAAGCTCCGGCTTAAGGCCCCCAATGAATGCGCCTATGAGTGCTCGTTCCGGCCAATCGCGTACATGACATGCTAAGCGTTCGAACTCTCTTTGGTAATCCTTTAGGCTACCCGTTTGCCTAATTCGTGTCAAGGCCTCATCAAAATCATAGTACTCAAACGACCCAAACCTCTTGATTAGCCCCTTTTCGAACTCTTTCCACTTCAGTCGTTTGCCTTTTTTCGCATGCGACATCCATTGCCACCATGTATTCGCCTCGCCATCAAGGTAATACGCGGCGTACTTAACTCGATCAGCCTTTGGAGTCTCGTTGAGGTCGAAATATTGAGTCGCTCGACTCAACCATGCGTCCGGATCCTCTCCCTTGAACGTGGAAAGGGCAATCTTTGGTTTCTCAACCCTTCGTTCCTTGTGGTGCCGTGAACCCCTAGACCCTTGAGATCGGCGGTCCGTCTCGTCCTCATACATGCTACCTTCATCCTCCGAAGATGAAGACTCCCCCGAAGATGATCCGGGTGTAGGATCTGTCGACGACCTTCGACCACTCCGTCGAAGCTTCGCAAATTCGACGGTTATTGATTGCTCGAGCTTGGCCAATTGGTTGTATGTGGCATGTTGACCATCTTGCACGGCCTTCACGTCATTTTTCAAACCCTGCACGTCTTCGATCACGGAATTTAATCCGCTCTCCAATTGCTCGATCCGATCCTTATGCAAGTTCGTCATTTTTTTTTTTTTTAATCACGAACGAAAAGAAAAAATTTCAAAGAAAGAAAAATTTGAAACAGAAAGGAAAAGTTTAACTTGATACACGATCAAACACTCTCAATGAAAGCACCAATGATGAAGATCGTGTATCCGCTCAACTCGATTTGCCGTGAAACCCGCGCCGACGCCTTGGTCTCGAAGCGATAGGTTGCTAATACGCGCGCCGACGCCTTCGTACTTCGTGATAGGTGTGAAGAAAATCGGATGTTGGTCCTATTTCTAGCACGATTTTGTATGTAAATCACACACGAGATTTGGTGATCGAAACAATCGATTTTTCTTATTACTTGGATGATAAAAATTGAATGACAATGGGTAGTATTTATAGGGACTAAGTAGATCTAATCCTATACTAGCTAGAATTCTAAACCATGAAAGAGAATAAACTCCTAAGGAAACTAAATATCCTAATATCTAAGACTTACCAAATAAGTAAGTAACTAAATAGGCACATGCCTTTATTCGAGATCTCCTAACCAAACTAGAATCCTAATTATGCTAATAAAATCGATTCCCCCACTTTTGCTTGCGGCGCACGCCGGTCCCAACCCTAACCGCGTCGTGCTACTCCTAGTCCTCGGGGGACTTGCGCTCGCCCGCGCCCCACGCGTCTCGCGCGTCGTCGACCGCGTTCTGCGTGCGCCCCATCGTGCCACGTGTGCGCTCCTTATTCCGCGCGTCGACCTGACCCTAGGTGGTCGACACGTGATACTCCATCCACTCGTGTCCTTTGTCCCACTCGTCCATCGCATGGTCATCGTCTTCCTCTCGCGGCGCTGTCTTGCGCGTAGCCTCCCTCGCGCGACCCTGTCTTACGCGGCTTCCTCCCGCGCTCCTCGTCATGCGGCCCACGTGTATCGGTGGCCTTCGCGTTGCGCGATCCCTACGTGCGTGGCCATCCTTCGCGCGTTGCTGGCCTGCGCTCCCCATCACCGGGCCTACGCGTATTGCCAGTGTGCGTACCGTGCGCCGGTCATGCACGCGCCATTTTATGCGCGTACGTGCCCTCTTTCTACGGCCTCTCGGCCTGTTCCGACAACTTGCGAGGCCTCGACCTCGGGTTCGAATGGGTCAATGACCACATTCGCATCACTGCAGTGCGTTGTGAGCGCTAGGCGCGGGCACGGACAGAGGCTCTGCCTGGCCTCTGCGACGCGGCATATACACGACACGCACGACTGGCGCGGCTGGTGACCCTAGCCGGTCCTTTCCCGAACTTCCGACAACTTTTCCGGTGACTACCAACCCAAAACAACTAAACATGATATATAACATGTAAAAATGCCAAGAAATACTAGGGCAACTCGGGTGGATGAGGGCTCGGTCCAGTAGGGCCTATATGGCACCTTTGGACCCTAGGTCACCGAACTAACATGCTCAACTTATCAAAACACTTAGGGTCGAATACTTAGCATCAAAAACCATGGGTAATGAGGCTAGAACATTGGTCATTACATGCATGCACATAGACTTAGGTTAGGAGGTGAAAATGGCTCGATTTCACTTAATAAATTGACCGAACATATGAACTTAAAGCATGCTAATCTTTTAACCATGTCATACTCATGATATTTGAGGATTATTAAGCTAGGAAATTCGACCAACTCATGCATGTACAAGAATTTCCGAAATTAGGGCTTGCATTTCCGAAAAATCATATCTCCTTATTATGAACATGCATGGCCTCATTTCTAGCATGATAATACTTATTTTATCATGAGAGTGTTGCGAGAAAAGGGAAACACGAGCTAACCTTTCTCAAAGATCGAAAAGGCGCGGGTTGAACCTTCTCGGGTTCACTCGCGGGCCTTGGGTGCTAGGCTCGGTCGAGCGGCTCAAACTCTCGGCAATGGACTGAAGTGAGGGACTCAAGAGGCTTAGAAAATTTCAAATAAACTTTGGAAGATGCTAAGACTCGAGACAAAATGGTTGGAATAAGACCAAACTCGATGCTCCTCCTCCACGGGTCTATCTCGCGCGCGCGGCAAAGGACAAAGGGCCTCTCGGTTTTGCTCACTCTCCCTCTCTATATGCTGAATAGTTAGAGTGTAAAATGACTTGAACTCAGCTGATAAATGACCCTTATATAGGAGAGAGGGGCGGAGCTCACAATGCTCAAAGGGGGAGACCAACATCACACGCGCGCTTCCTTGGGTGGCGCGGTCTTGGGGGCATGACTTGGTGGAGTGGTGGCAGGCTTTGCACGGTCTTCATGGACAAAAATTAAAGACTATAAGACCATGATGGGTGGAGTGGCAGGTTCAGGTCAGGTCACTATGTGCATGGGAGACAAACTCGACACACATGCATTAGAATAATATAATGCCCATCACCCCACTACATGCTAATCTTGAGTTGACTTTCCTTAATCCTTATTAAGGCTTGCTTAAGCTTAATGAACTCCAAAAGACCTCCAGAATACTCGGAACATATAGGGCTTCCAAGGACTTGGGCCATACTAAGCACATTGGGCTCGGAGGCCACTCGCAAGTGGGCTAGGCGCGCGGTACGGCTGGGCTGGGCGCGGCACTTGCGCATGGGCTGAGCAAAGCCAACTCTTGGGTCGAAACTAAAGCACATCTAGGGCTGAATAATGGCTGAACCAATGGAGGAAAAATACTTAGAATTATATCCATGCATTGCTTAGACTAGGCTCGGCAATGGAAGAGGGCGCGGCACTACTTGGACCGAGGCCAACCCTTGGCTATTGCTGGACCTAAAAGCCACGAGAACACTTAAGAAAAATATCCTGAGAGGCTCGACCATGACTTAGGTCAACTCAGCATAGCTAGACTCGCGCACTTGGGCGAGGCGCACAACACTTGCGCGCGGGGACTCGAACCATTGCACAAGCTTGGTGCGGGGTTCCTCTCGACCGAGTGACTTGACCTAAGCTCGATAAAATGATCTCATACTTAGAAAATATTTTAAGTAAGAATATGAGCACGACTAGGGCTCGAACAAGACTCGAGACTACTAGGGCTCGAGAATTGGCTGGGCGCGAACTAGGCGCGATACTCGTGACCGAACGACTCAGTTCCGGACATGGCTAGACTTAGACAATTTATCGAAACATACTCGGTTCCGATTGTTCGTCAACTGGAATAATTAATTCCGACTGGATAAAATCCATTACTAAAAAAAGTAAATGGATCGGAATTAATAGCTGAGATTGAATAGCTGAAACTGGGCTCAAAACTCAAGACGAGCAGTATTAATAAAAAGAAATAGTTCAACTTGGAACTAAAAACAGTCATTTTTATTAATACAGAACTGGGCTATTACAATAACCCACGACAAAAAAGAGGGCTCGGCTTTTCACAATAAATCTCATAATTCACAAGGCAAAAGAGGCTACATTTCAAGGCTCAATTCATAAATTCCAAGTCCACCAATTTCATAATTACAACACAATTTAATTACCATTCTCAAAGATCTAAACATACCACCAATTTCACACAAATTAGTACACTAATTCCTCAAAACCAACGAGATGCAACAACTACACCAATTAACAATTAACACAAATATTCCAAATAATCCCAAAGATCCAACACTTCACAGATTTTCATAAGATCCAATTTCACAAGCACGAATCTAAAATTCCACGAAGTAACAAGAGGGGATTCAAGATTTTACCACGCTACTCGAATCCACACGAACTAAGGAGTTGAAAACGGATTTTTAAACTCGGCTCGACTCGAAAACTCTCGATGCTCGTACCCTCGGTTGCCGCTCATGGAGGGTCTCGGCTGAGGCGACACGGACCCATGGTTGGTTTGGTTTTGCTGCAGCTTGCTCACCTTCACCGGGAAGGACTCAACCTCGTTGTTCGGAGGTGAAAAGGGGATGCTGCTGCCCGTTCATTGTGGTAGGTGGCCTTTTAAGGTGTCGCTGCAATTCGCGGCTCGTGGTGGCCGAACGGACATGAACAAGGGCTTGCCTCGACTTGCGGCTACTGTCCGCAGTGGCTCGGTCGACGGCGGCTGAAGGTGGATGTTCGTGGCTGAATGATGGTGGCTCTCGTTGATCACTCGCCTTTGATGATGTCCGATCGCGAAGAAGATATCCCGGTGAATCTAGAGACTCGTAGCTCGCGGTGGCTGCATGCGATTGATGTGCAGACGTCGGTGGGCTGCTCGCGCGGACAGAGGCACGCGACGGTGGTGATTTCTCGATGGCTGAAGGTGTGCGAGTGGTTGAGCTACATTTGTTCGAGGCTGAGCGTGGTGCTGCGACGCGGCTAATTGGATGCCGGCGGGACCTCTCTCGGTGACGGTCGGGGTGCGGGAACACCGGCTATAAGGGCTCTCCTCACGGGGTGCAGCTGAGAGAGAAGGAGAGGGCTCGGTTGCTGCTACTCGCGGGTGGTCGCCGGAAGGATTGGAGCTTCAGGTCGCCGGTATTGTGTCTGAAAATTGTTGAGGAAGAAGATGAATATGAAGGGCAGCTTAAGCCATTGAAGAGGAAGATGAAGGACGATTCTCCTCTTGCGTTTAAAGGAAAGGGAGACTAGGCTAAAGATAAATGGGCTAAATGGGTCGGATTAAAATATAACTAGATTGGGCCGAGTATATGGCTTCAAACTTGATAGGAAAAAGGCTCGACCTAAAACGCGATTGAACTGAAAATTCCGAACCAAACTAACTATCAATTAAATAAATAAAAGCAAGCAACCTATAAACCAAGCTATGCATATAAAAATAAAATTCAAGCATTGCACATAAAATAAAATAAGAGCAACATATATTCATAAATGAATACATGAAATAATAAAATGAAAGCAAACAAATATAAAATAAAAATACGATAAATCACGAGAAATCATATAAACCAAAATTACCGATCGAACTAACTACCAAATAAAATCGAACAAGTACATAAAATATATAGAGAATGCAATCAAATAATCATTTATGAAATAAATTCCAAGGCACCAAATAACACATACAACAATACTAAGGCAAACACACTAAGACAAATACACATATACGCACAAAAATTTAAGAAGGATTAACTAAGGTAATTAAAATAAACACGGGATAACATATAAATCGAAAGGGGCGCTACACTAATCCTGACATTCCAGATAAAATTTCATTCTCTCAAAATTCACAAACTCCCTTAAATTTACCATTCTCACAAGCTCCTTATCCTGTATAATTTTTCCTACAATTCCCATCAAAATTTTCTTTTATGCAACAACACTCCAAAATTATCCAATCTCCCCCAATATTCAATATTCACAATATGCTCCACAAGTTTTATTTCAAAACCCGCCGGTTGAATATTGGCAGTATATAAGTAGTCAAATTTTGGGGCAATTTTCTCTGCAACAATCGAGTCAATCTTCCATATCCCAAATGAGGAAAGAACCTCATACTCCAACTTACGTTCCGGAAACACAATTCCTGGATCGTAAAGCAACCATTAATGTTGAAATACCAAAAAACATGGAGAATCCTTAAAGATCGTCCCATGTACACTCTACAGTGCTCTAATGATATTTTCATTGAGAGAAAAAGACGAGAATTAATGAGTCTAGTGCCAGCAATACTTCATTAGAGGATGCGAGTATTAACATAGATGGACTTCATGAAGTGACCCGCCCAATCGGACATAAGATAGCTAAACGAAATGCCAAGAAACATGGAGAATCCTTAAAGATCGTCCCATGTACACTCTACAGTGCTCTAATGATATTTTCATTGAGAGAAAAAGACGAGAATTAATGAGTCTAGTGCCAGCAATACTTCATTAGAGGATGCGAGTATTAACATAGATGGACTTCATGAAGTGACCCGCCCAATCGGACATAAGATAGCTAAACGAAATGCCAAGGAAAAAGGCAAATCTAACCTTGATGAGATGACTACAGAATACAATAACATGGTTAAGTATCTTATTGAGTTAACAAACTTGAAAAAAATGGAAGTTGAAGTTAAAAAGGCTACTCTTGAGGAGAAGAAACAGAGAAATAGTCGAAAAGACCATGAGATTTTACTGAAGGACACAAGCCACATGACCCAAAAACTACGTATTTCTCATGATAAAATGTGTCAAGTAATTCGAGAGAAATGGAACTTGTAGACTATGTATTATCTATTTTAATTATCTTTGTATGTCTGCACGTTGTGATTTGCGAAATTGAACTTTTAGCTTGTATTTCATTTAAGTTGTTCTTGTTGAAAAAATAAAAATGCATTCCTACCGTCTATTATTAGCAGAAGACATAAATGATGTGACAATTCATGAGTTGTATTGTCCATTTGAACAACATAACATGCAGATCAAAATAAATATGTCAGAAGATAAGATATGTGTTATGGTATGTTTATAAATTTGCAGGAACAAATAAATTTGTCATAACATAAGACATGTGTTATGACTTATTTATCAATTTGAAAACTCAAATCATTGTGTCAGAATCACGTGGTATTGGCTATGACAATAATATTGTCAGAAGATAAGGTGTGGGAAAAGAAGGCACGAGCTACGACACATTTATTAATTGGATAACTCAAACCATCATTGTGTCAGAATCACGTGGTATGGGCTATGACAATAATGTTGTCAGAAGATAAGATGTGGACAAAGAAGACTTGAACTCTGAAACATTTATCATTTTGATAACTCAAATTATTGTGTCAAGATCACGTGGTATAAGCTATGAATTGACAATAATGTTATCAGAATCACGTGGTATGGCATGACATATGACACATTTATTAGTTTGATAAATATATGAAATAATGTTGACAATAATCTTATATCTAGAGGTCTATATATTCAAAACAATCCATTTTTTTTGGTTCTACTATTTCTCATTTGTAACCTTAATTTAAGTTTTTTTATCTAATAATGTTATTTTTACTTTCAACATTTAAAATTAAGCATTCTAATTAAAAAATACTTTTATTTTAGTGAAAATAGCTATTTTCATCCCATTTTGAAGTCCTGCTAAGTTTTTCACACCGCCCAATAAAAAGCTAAGTTTTTCACCCCAAAAAGTACGAAGACATATGCGATGAACTATGCGATAGATAGACGACCGGTATGAGCATGGGCGAGAAAATTATGAGTTAAAGTATGCGACTGTTCTGCGATGAGTATGCAGAGATTCGATGTACGATTCGGTCAATCGCGGTCCGCCGCCCATTAAATAATTATTCTTCTTAGGCGAATGAATTTGTGACTATTAGTCGAAAAAATTATTCTGCGACATACGAACATCGCATATTATTCGCAGAGTTGGTGCATTATAAGTTTTTTTAGTAGAATATTTTTTTCTTTCATCTTACATGTAACGCCCCACTTTATTTTAAAGGATTTATCAAATTTATTTAATAAAAAAAATCACAATATATTTTTCGGAAAGTTTATTTTAATTAAAAACTCAGTGGGCGCTACTCGAATTTACCAAAAGCTTTTATCCAAAAATGCAAACACATCAAATAAAGACAGCATGCGCGAATAATAAATCATAAACCAATCTAGCATTCATTAGGTTCCAAATCATTAAAGATAATTCATAATTCCCAAGTTCAAAACGACACAGTCATAATATCTCAACATAAATGAGCGGAAGCAAGTAAATAAGCGATAAATAAAAGCATGACCACCACCCGTCTTGTCTCGTCACCCGCCGACTGCTTAACCTGCATCCGTTACGAGCAGGTGGGAGTGAGTACAGTTAATTATCGTACTCACGCTATGCATATGAATAACATAATAATGGTATGGTCGCAGCATGAACATAAACAATAAAATCATGTCACATCTCTAGCCACATCAATGACTATAGTCTCATCAAAGACTCACTCATGTACATCTATGCTCATCAAAGCTAAGCCATGCCATATCAGTGAAACATGGGAGTGCGTGCCACATCAATGACACGGCCTTCTCATAGGTCTTAATGAGATTTACCTCACTGGGTAACCGTATCTTATCATACGGGGACAACCGTATCGACGGCCATCAAGCTCACATCGATAGGCTACATGTTCATTTTCATACATAGATCACACCAAACTTTCATCACAATTTAAATCACACATATGCATAGATAATTTTAGAATAACCCACCTGGAAATTTCGGATTGATGATAGCAAATCAGAAAAGATGAGGACCGAGGCTCGACTCCTCAAACACCTACATTATGCCAAGATCCTACAATTAGAATCTATCTCGACTTAAACTGGAAATCACAAGACAGACCTAGTCGAACTCGTTTCGACTAAGTAGTTCGTGAAGTCCTGTGGATGTGGAACCCTAAGACTCGGCACTAAACTCAACCAAACCACTTAAGGGAGTTCACAAAAATCCATCTAAGGTTTGACCAAGTCAAATTCACAACAAAAACCAGCAAGCAAGTCAATTCAACTTCCACATAACAATTATACTCGAAAATTGAAATCATTTAATCGCGTGAAAAATAGTTGATCAAGATATCCTACGAATTAAGCTCTGAAAATTTATACAAAATTTCATCTCCCAGAAATATGTAATATCACAAAGTTTCAGCTTTAAACTCAACATACCCTATTTTATAAAATTCAAACAGTAATTCAGCAAAAAGGGCACATTAATCCATACTCAGACTTAGTGAATGAATTTGAACCTGAAAATTTTACACAGCAACATTCAGTATGCCAAAGTTCACTTATAAAATTTTCAGCCTTAAACAATAACTGCTCCTATTTTTAAAAATTCAAACAAGAAACAGCAGTTTATTGAATTTAAATCCAAACTGAAACCAAACGGACTCTAAAAATTTTCATATTTTACAGACATGATGAAACACTTAAAATATGACTCCCAGTAAAATTTCAGAATTTTCCACGCAGTAACCGATTTTTAAAAATTAAAACATCCTTTCTGCAGAATCAATAAATAAAATATTACCCATATCAAATCAACTCCAAAAATTCTGAAAATTTAACACAACACATATAGGTCACAGAGGCATGACATATTCGAATTTCAGCTCATTTCAGACAAGTATGAATTTATTATGTATTTAACAATATTCTGGACGGAATACAAATTAATTATTAAAAATAGCTACAGGACTCCAAAAATTACGAAAATTTTACACAAGGCAGGCAATGAACAGATAACACATCTCTCAAAATTTCAAATCGTTTCGAGTAGCGAGCTATTTTTAAAAATTCGAACACCGAAACAGCAATTCACAAGCTCGACAACTTGGCAATTAAATCACAACATAAAATTTCTCGTCCGAGGCCTTCCCATAAGGCCAAGGACTCGACTTTGTTCCAATATCCACCGACTTACACGAGTTTCGAGGTCTCGTTCGATTTTTGAGAAAATCGAAGAGGTCCCGAACACACGAACACATAAAATCACATAAAATCATAACAATATATATATTCGCGCTTATCACATCAATAAATTCACATCATACATAACAGGAACACTTCACGAACATGAACGATTCAACGAAACATATACGAATTAAACGAGATGGAAAAACGACGAGGTACCGTTCG